GTGTTACTATGGATCTCATAAATATGAGTCCCAAAAAGTTCAAAATTTACATAAAGTCTGGGTTAATGCAAATTAAGACAGCGAAAAGAAGTATTCTTCGGTCAGCTGTCTATAGTAACAAGGCACGATTCTGGTTTCAAAAGTGAAACTTTTGTCGCTGTTGTTGGGTTATGTAAGATATCTGATTATCTATAAGTTCAAGAAGAAGTTTGTATGGAAATTAGGAAATTTATTTAAAAAAAAATCTTATAAAATCCTGCAAGATAAAATTATAATTTTATGGAATCTTAAAGAGCATTTTTGTGATAAAATTTATGAGGATTGTTCGACATTTTTCTTGATGATTCTAGTTTTTAAACGCATGATATTAAGTTTTTTTTTGCAAATTGGAAGCAGAATTCTGGTTGATTCTAGTTTGGAATCATTTTTAATTTGCGTACAAGGCTCTTGCAGATTATAATTTTCAATAAATCTCTATACCAAGATCATAATCTTCCAAACAAAAAGATTATAAGATCATGATCTGCGGGAGCCTTGTTTTGCGTTCATATTATTATTCTTAATTATAAATGAGTTTTCTGATTGAATATTCTCGGCAGACGCTTGAAAGCCATTTCCAACTATACTATCAACCAGGCCACTTGGTGGCAAACATTTCAATGAATTTCAATGTGTGCCGATCGGGTCTGAATAACAATAGAGCTGTTGACAGAGTAGCATTTGGGATTGGTGACTGTCAAACAGTACCCAGCGATATCCCAAGCTATAAAGCCAACATCAGGTGCCATCTAAGGATGACATGGGCCACAATCGATCTGTACGGCTAGCAAAGTAAGTAAGTAGCAATGAAGAGTATTTTTTGTTGTGCACTAGCTTCCAGCAACACAAGGTAGAACCCTAGTTCTTACTTTTGGAAAAATTAATGACAATTTATTGATTTTTGTACGGATTAACTGTTTTTGCATTAATCTTTAAAGAGACATTTTTAAACTGTTTAAAACTTGAACTTGACTGGGAATAGGAATTCATAAATCCAAGGCATGGAAACTATCCCAAATGTCCCATTTATCCGATATATCCCAAAAATATTCAAAATAATCCCTGAGCCTGTATGCATTAGAATTGAGATATCCCATCATATCCTGAAATTACACATCTAATATACTAAGGATACATTGGGATATCTTTATTATCGTGCATATATGCTCAGGAATTTTTTGAATATTTTTGGGATATGTGGGATAAATATGATATTTAGGATAGTTTCCACGCCTTGCATAAATCTCTCATTTCCTTTATTAAACTACTTTTATTTTTAAAATCGCCAAGCTATTACCTCTCACTTATTATTACAACAATTTCGCAAATCCGTTAAAATTTCCTCCAAAAATTAATAAGAGCTTTAAAACTTAATTGAAAGAAGCCATTAACGCACTAATTACTTTATCGAAAAATAATCAGCTTTTGTGTGACTGACCCATCAATTCATGTGTGAAAATTAATTTTTAAAAGAAAATTATTGCATGTAATATTATGAAATTTAACGATAATTGAATTAATATTAGATCAATATAAATTAATTAAAGTTATATAAAGTTAATTGAAAAGTGCTGTTGAGAGATAGTAGCACACATAAAAGCTTCGATATTTAAGTCAATTTAAATACAATTATGCAATTTATTTATTGGTTGGCATATTATGTGAAATTTTGGTAGCTTTTGTGTATTATTTATGAATATTAGGTTTTATTAAGAGTAGATTTATGCTATACAGCATAAAATATAAAACATAATTGTTCAGTTTAGATAAATTTCAGCATAATTAACAATAACTGCTGATAGCTTTATAATATTAAAGCTATACGAACCCCAAGGATCACTGACACAACATAATATTAAGCTACTCAGTCAGTTTTGACATTTAAGAACTCAAATAAATCAAAATATTTACTTTCGAATTTTAAAATAAATGTAGAAATTATTCAAAAGCATTCAATTTAGTAAAAGCACAGCCATTTAGTCCTTGATCAAATTTTAATCCAAGTTTTGAAATCTGCAGGACAGTTTTGCATATTCTGACTATGACCATGAATAATTTTAGTTGCTAAGTCAAATCTATTCTTGGTTAAACTACTTTAATGATATTGAAGTGGAAGTTGTGGATGTTGACTTTGAAAATTCAAAATTGTTATCTCCTGAGGAAAGTAAGTGGCTGATTGTTGTTGCTTGAACTTGGTGAACTCGGTTTGTGGTGCTTGAGCTAATACTTTTCAAGATAAATAGTGAATGAAGCTAGGTTAAGTTCAAATTGATATAATTGGAAGTTATTCATGACCATAGACAACTTTCCATCAATTGAACATTAATTTGTCAACAATTTTATCCAACAATCCACAATCTTCAGCATTAAACCTTCCAAATCTCACAAAAACCTTAATAACACTCAAATATCCAATAAAAGCACAGCTATTCACAATTTCTAAACAGTCTATTTTAATTAAGAAAGCAAACAGAATGTAATCTGATCCCTCCCGGGTGTCATCTGCTAGATACCAAGCTTCCACTTAATTACAATCATTTTCGCAATTCTTTCCTTGTAAAAACAGCAAACACGAGTAAATTAGAAAATGCATAGCTCGAACTTCCACAGAAGTGATATATAAATTGCAATTCAGACCAATTTGAGTGAAAAAAAAAGCAATTAAATATGCAAGCAGTTATTTCTCTCGATCTACTCTGTGTATTTTATTAGTGAACGCCCTTCATCTACTTCCTAATTTTTCAACTTTCACGAGGAACAGATTCTTAACGAATGATTATAATCCTCAGTATTGCTTTTATGCACGACAGTCATTTGCATATATACAACTTTTATAAAATTAAATAAGAAGGTAGTCTTAAATACCGGAAAATAAATTGAGTCAGATCACGAATAGAAATTTTTTTTTTGAAAAATTGGCATAACAATTATTATATTAAGCTTTTTTTTGGACGCTGTGTCTACATCTGAATTATTGAATAACAAATGAATTTGACTGTAAAAGTTTCACTCCCAAAATGCCATCGCGCATATTATGAGTTTTCTATTGTCATCATCATCTTTATTAATAAGTCATGCAAAACTTTTTCCGTGGCGTCACTAAATCCATAAAATCTCTTTCTTTCCATCTCATATTTGTCTTTTTTAGTGCGGAGGTTAGTTTTAGGTATTGACCACACTTTTCAATAAGTTTGTTTGTCTGGTCGTATGCAGCTTATCAAGACTTTCGATTATGTCACTTATGAGTGGATTATGAGTGTTTTTTTTGGTTTTGATGCTGGATTGAATGTAATTTTTTGGATTTATTTACGTTAAAGCTAAAGTAAGCAATAGCCTCAACTTTGTTTGAATTAGGGATGTCTATTTTTCTACTCGAAAAATAGGATTATATAATTGAGTTATATATTATGTACGGCTTGCGAACGGGCCCATTGCCGCGTTCAGAGATCTTCTAAAGACAGCTCTTCCCTTTGAGACCTGCTGTCAGTTAGGGATATTAAGGACTCTAGCGTCCTTATCAACACACCCAATCCAGGTTTTTTTGTTGGTGTTCCTCTAGATCTCTTGCAATCCATACATCCTGCAACTCTTACTCTAAGTACTGGGGCATCTTGTGGACTCCTAAATGCATGTCCAGCTTAACTCAAGCGGTTTACACGGAGAACTGTAACAATATCAACATCCTGCAATAACTGATATAGTTCTTCATTGTGTCGGCTTCGTCATACTGTTCTCCTTCCTTTACAGGTCCATAAATCGCTCGCAATACTCTTCTTTCGAAGACACCAAGAGCTTAGTAAGTAAGCAAGTATGTAAATATGAGTATATCAGAAACCATATATTACTCTAAACATCATAGACCAGTGGTTCATAAACTATGTGCCGCGAAAAAAATTGATTGCTAATATTGGCCCTATATTTTCATGTTTTTTGACTTTAAAAAGGTCATGAAAATCATTTAGTGTGCCGCGAGACTTTTCAGATGGTGCGTGGACCAAAAAAGTTTAGGAAAAACTGTCATAGACCCTCTCTCATATTGAATTAAATAAACCGGTTCAACAAAACAATAATTTTGACAATAGATTTGGAACTTTAAGATAAACAGAGCAATGCACAACTTATAATTTGAATTTTGCCATAAAAAATTATAATCCACGATAGCGCATTGGTAGAAGCATGCAATTTTCAACCGAGAAGTGAGTTCGAATCCCATTATTCAGAAATGTTATTTTAAATTCGACATCTAGATTTTCAAATCCTCACTTCTAGACATTTATAAATAAACCACTTCATAAAACATTACAAAAGTGTGCCTGAAAGCTCAAACAAGTAAGCTTGCTTCAAGAAAATTCGCGTGCAAGCAGAACAAATTCCTATTTAATATCCATGGCTCAACATTTCTCGCTAGGTGACGATATCGACCAAGTGTTTGCTTACACTTTCAGGTTGTACACATATTTTAATGACAGGCAGGCACAGAGAAATATAATTTACATAAAGTACAAGATTGCAATTTTTTTCAACAATATTACATGTATCATAGATATGAGAGAAATATAAAATTATTACTATAGGCGGTAGTCGGCAGTTGCAGTACAAGTTATTTTTTCCTTTATAAAGCTAGTGTGATACACTTTATTAAATAATACACAGAATGGCATGAAAGCATTTCACTTTCAATATACAAGGTAAGGCATATCATTCGATATATGGCATATAAATGTGTTTTTGTCTATATTGATTACATAAACTCCAACTTTGGTGCTCGAAGCACTTAAGAGGAAGAGAGATAGCGAAAGATGTAGGCAATGTAGATCACGAGTGAAACGGTTCCAGTTTTTTTTTATTTATTGTTCCTCTCTTTCCATTCAATCGAATATACAAAAATAATAAAATAAAGGCAAACGTCTCGAGAAATTTGTAGACGACGTGTTGCTGTTATGGCTTTTATGTCTACTTACTTGATAATATCACTAGCAATAATAAAATTCCTAATTGCTTAAGCGCCATCACAATAATTGACTCTTTTATTGTTTAATATTGACTATAAAAACTTCTTTCGATATATTTTTTTTGTACTTCTTCCTTTCCACTCAGGCTGGACTATAAGCTCGCAATTATCTTTCACTTCCTGACTATATATTTATATATTTTTTTTTCTTTCCTTTCTTATGCAATTTTTATGTCAGGGTCACAACTTTTTCCTCTTGTAGAATTAAGTCTAATTACACCCGTCACTCACACCCATACACACACGTTCAAGAATATAATAACTTTAAACTATAATTCACGCGTGCAAGACGCGCACGGTTGTTGGAATAAAAGAAATAAAACCGAAAACTAGCAAATGAAAGCTCTTTTATATGAAAAATTCGCTTTCACTGGTTTTGTTTTGGTGGTGGGATAAGCGACAGTTGCTTAATGTATTGAATACTGGCTTTTAGTATAAGCCGCATGGCTCTCACAGTCTCTCAAATATAATTTAAATCTTAAACTTTTTTACTTTGAATGTATTTGTTGTAGCTGATTTCCCCTTCGTGCTGTGTACTGTATGGCTTGATGTTAAATTTTGCTTCCTCATTGCGGACCTGAATTTTTAATGTTTTCTCTCTTTTTTTATGCTCACCGAAAAAAAAAAAAAGATTCAGTTCTTCAGCATTTTTGTTGCAACTTTTATTTGTGTGTCTTTTGTTTGTATTCCTTTATTTTGTAGGAACTAGTAGAACTTTCGAATTTATTTTGGATAATTTATGAGCTTGTTTACTGATTTTTTGTTGTTCCTAGGAATTGTATCATTTTCTCAGAGGTTACAGAACATATTGGAAGACTGTCTTAAACTTCTAGTAAATACGAGAGTAGAGTCGATTTATCTGATTGCTTAGTCAATATGTTCTTGAATTAATGGACATACCAAAGATGTATGTATTATGTAATAAGGTTTGCTTCAAAATTTGGTTCTGTTAACGGATCAAATTTCTGTGATGTGTTGTTATCAAGGCATGGCAACTATCCCCAATATCCCATTTATCTCATATATCCCAAAAATATTCAAAATAATCCCTGAGCCTATATGCATTAGAATTGAGATATCCCATCATATCCTGAAATTACACGTCCAATACACTAAGGATACGTTGGGATATCTTTATTATCGTAGATATATGCTCAGGAATTTTTTTGAATATTTTTGGGATATGTGGGATAAATATGATATTTAGGATAGTTTCCACGCCTTGGTTGTTATGAAACCCCAAAGTTGCATCTATCGAGCTCTTATTAAGAACAAGAATCTATCACATACTATGCCGAGGCGATATCTGGAGAAGTAACTTTTATATGATCCAATGTCAGTTCATTCATAAGCCAAGTACCAAAGCTTTTATCTGAAAGCTATCAAGGATAATTAGGATACCGGTAATCACATAGCTTGAGAACTTCTGGTATTATAGATCCATAATCGACAATAAAATGAAGACATCAACGCTTTTCTACACAACTTTTCAACACCTCAATCTAAAAATCCCTAAAATGCAGATAACCTAAAATGCAGATAGTACTGCCAAGATGCAGATGAAATTTATTTTCCCTAAAATGCAAATGAAATGCTGTTGGTTTAAAAAAGGGATAATGCAGATGATTTTTATCGTATAAAGCAAGGGTATGGTACTGATGAAATGATCAAAATGTATTCCTTCAGTTCCACACCCTTGGTATAAAGTGCAGATAAGACTGACAAAATATTCATAAAATTTTCTCTTTCAATATTCAAAAATAGATCACTTAAATTATACATACCAAAGCATAAACAAGCTTAACAATTTTCCATTTAAAATTTTTCAAACAAAAATCGATCCGTGGATCTTAAAACTTAAATTGGATATTAGCACACAAATGAATAAAGTTTAAGCTGTTTTGTAAAATTTTTATCAGAATAATTTTTTTAATTTTTGGAATGTATTTCTATGATGATGAACTTGGCATGAACATGAAGTAAGTAAATCTTCTTTGTTTAGTTAAAGATTCAGATCTAAATAAGATTCTCGTGAATTGAGCTTTTGTTTCTGTGGTGATTTTATTAAGATTTACACTAAACCGCAACTATAAGAGGATATGCTTAGTTTAGAGATCAAGGACTCAGAGTTGGATGATGTATACTGAAAGTTCTCTTGTAGTAAAAGCTCCTATTATCCCTAATCAGTCCTTTCATCACATTTTGAGCCTTTTCCTAACACAGTTAAATATTTCATTTGAATATATTGAATATCAACCAATTACATGAGCAACATAGCCATTTGGTGCTTGATACTGTCTGCCTCAGGCATGTTGTGTACACCATTCAGCCATGACAGCAATTTTGTCACTTCTAAATTTCTGGTTCTGTCATTTTTAACAGCTTTATTTTTTTGAAAAATTTGTCAATGACTTGCGTTTGCATTGAATTTAAGTTCTGGGATTGGAATTGATGCAGTCAACATTTTGATGTTTACGAAATTTGATTGTGATTAGAGTAGAATGCTTGTGTGGACCGACTGTGATTTTAAACAGAATTCAGAACTCGATCTCAAGTCAATTCAAGATTTATAAAATAACAACTCTGCTGTGTAACCAGGGGGGGGGGGGGATTTGGGGGACAAATCCCCCGACGATAACAGAAATTTCTTCATTTTGACTGGATTTTTCTGAATTTTCCATAAAATTTTTATTCCCCCCCTCCCCTCTTCAAATTCCTGGCTACGCCCCTGGACACAACATCTCATTTAGTTCAAAATTATTCAAATTCTTCTTATGCATTAATCTTAATTCCAAGTATTTGGTTTAGATGAATTAATTCAAGAATTTTAATTAATTTCTCGATTAATTTGAAGCTCGTTTGTATTCATACAAAATTCATCATTGAAAGTTTCTTACTGAAAAAGTTGTAAACAACTCAGAGATTTTGTGACTTTTTTTTTCAAACTCGAAGAAAATTTTCTCGAGCAGCAGTTTGGTAAACCATGAAATTTAGATAATCTACAAGTGATGCTTGAGCAATTATTTGCTTTTCCTCCACATGAACATACTGTGTACGGAGCTTGATGCATAAATTTTAGTTTTTGCTGGTGACATTTTAAAAATGAGAAATTTTGTAGCTACATGTGTGATATGTCTACACTCTTGAGTTCCCGAATGGCACAGGTCGATTAATCGATCAGTAATCCAGCACCGAGTCGGTGTGACTTTGGTATGGTGCTGGATTTAAATCAAAGTCAGCACCATGCCAGAGTCATTCCAGCTTGGCACCGAATTTCTATTAAATCAATCGACTTATGCTATTCGGGGTTTCTAGATACAGGATTAGTTGCAAAAAGCATAATATGGAAATTCTATTTAGACTTGTGTGACTAAATTCAGATACTTTTTTTCAACATTCACTCATGATTATATTCTTAATTAAATGTCATAGTACAGAAAAAAAAACTTTTTCATTTCTAAGTTGAAGGAAGGAAAAAGTTTGGAATTGTTTTTTTGGGGTTTGAATTGGATGTGACGCATGTGGTTGTTAGCTAGAGTGACCAATATTTTGAATAGATTTTTAATTACAAATCTAGTAAAGTTAAATTCTCTTCGAAAGTCCATAAAAATGTCCAAATAAATTTATTACAACTTATATCCACTTGCTGACCTATCTTCATCTTTAAGTCCATCAATTTGGTTATTCTCAGAACACTTGACTCAATCCGATCAAAAAAAAGAGTAAATTCCATATTTTTGATGATAAAGCACAAGCAATGTTAACTTTTTCTTTCAAATCTTATTTCCATGGAAAAGTAAAAGAAGCTCCAAGGCACAACAAAATCTCTTTTTCCAATTCTGCTCTTTGCATTTAATCCAATTTGTTGTTCTTATTAAAGTTAACGAAAAGATATATATGACTTACGATACGCATGACATTGCTGTTGTTAAGATTTTGTTGAGTAAGAAAATAAAACTTTTTTTCGTCTATCCTAGCACAGCAGATAATTGATTTTTCATGCACGTCTTCATGTGTTTACAAATTACAGATTTGTGATATAAATAAGTTTGTGAGAATTAGGATTGAATCTTTCGTCGAGTTGTGGTTGTGGACTTTTTTTCCTGTAGTAAATTCAGATTTGATCATGACTTGAATGACGAATGACTTTGTGAATTTGAGGAATAACCTTGACTAGAAAGCAAATTTCCTGACTCTATTAAATATTAGATTAATTTTTTTAATCAATTTTATTGACATATGATCTGGAAATAACTTTGATGACTGTTATATACATTAACTCTTAAAATATTAATTCACACTTCCTGATTTTTTTATACATCAACTCTACGTCCTCAGTTCAGCCATGTTTCAACTTAATAATAGTATGGATATCCTGAATGGACGGCATATGAGAATGGCTTGATTGGTTCAGCTTCGACTGTGACAACTTGATGTGCTGAGTAAGCAAGTGGAGCTGAATATTGAACTGGAACTGGAGCAGCAGCATAGCTGAGTGGAGCTGAATAATGGATTGGAACTGGAGCATGGATGGCAACTGTGCTGTGTGGAGCAATGACAACATCATCAGCGACTGCTGAGCGAGTCTTGGCAACTTCAACAGCCTTCAAATGTTCAGCCTTAGCAGCTTTAACTTCAACGGTGTCTTCAACTGGTTCTGGAGCCTTCAATGGAGTAATTTCTGAGACAGCAACAACAGCTTCACCATTCTTGGCTTTTGCAACAAGGCTTAAATGTTCAGCTTTAGCGGCTTTAACTTCTGGTGTATCTTCAACTGGTTTTGGTGCTTTTCCTTCATAAACGGGTGGTGTTGGGAGATTTGTAGCAGCAACTCTGAATCCAAGTGAATCAGCAACATAATTTACGGTTTGTAATTTACTTGCGGCATCAACATATGAGTATGATCCTTGAGTAATTCCGTCAAGAGTTTTAACTTCTGATTTTGAACTTGGACCAGCTTGATATCCATAAACATAGTCGCCTAATCCTGATTGTGCGTGCCATTGACTGCTTGTTTGAACTGGTTGATAAACTGCAGCACTATATGCAAGTGGTGCATGTTGATAGAATGCTGAAGGTGCAGCACAGGCACTCATCACAATCGTGGCGAAAACTGCGACAAAGAATTTCATTTTTAATATTATTTGTTCTGCTACAAAATGCTCTGGTTGAAGGTATAAAATGATTTGATACAGAAATGTCTCAGATTTGATCTATTTATATGGACTGAGAAGGTGTCGATTTGTTCCACGCCGTCTAGACAAACTAAATGAGATAAAAAATTAAAAATAAATAGAAAAGACAACAGTTAAACATCAAGTCACTTGTTATGTAATCCCAATTAAATTCGAACCCCAGTTCTGATGAAAGATTTTAAGATAGAGGAAGTAAAAATTCTTTATACGTAGATATTCAGGTAATATAGAAATTCATGAGTTGATAGAAGACATACCGCGTGCTTGGCGACACGTAGATTTAAGCACATTAATTTATATGTATTTGACTCAACAGGAGCTGCTAAATAATCCTTTGAAAACAGAATTGCAGACATACATTTCTAGCCGGTTCCATTAACATCGATTGATATAATTAACAAGTTCAGGTTGTGATGTTCTTCTTATTCTTAATGGCTCATGCGACAAAACAAATAATGCTGCAAAAAAAAAGTTTGACTATCTGGATTTTCTTGATTAAGGCATGTGCTTGAATATTTTTAGCCGCTCGTGTAATTGATCGGGAACTTCAATGCTTAGTGATTTTATTATTTTCGATTAAACTAGTTTCAATCGTGATATGTATCTTGGTATGTTAATTAGCGTTCATAGATGGTAATCAAATAATGTTGCTTCCCGAGAATTGACAGTTGTGAGATAATGTTCATAATAATGTAATTTTGATGTCCTGTATCGAATTAGCATTCGAAGATTTAGATACTTGGCCCGTTCTAAATTCTCTGTTTAAGGACTTTGAAACTTGACTGTATCTAGACAGCTCTAGTAACCGTCCCAGGTTAAATTTAATTAATGGCTTGTGTCATATGATACTCGAAGGCAACTCTTTCACTAGCTACTTCTTTCCAATTGACAGTTCTAGTGCAATACTGATTCTATGAATTAATGACTAAGTGTATTGAATTATTTACTTTGTGTAATGCCATTGTTTATAGTTATTGTGTAGGAGTCAAGAAAGAATAACAGTTTGAGAAACATGAATGCTTGAAATTCCTTAGTCGAAAACTACGGCTGTACTGTCTTAAACTGTTTCTAGTCTAATATTTTTAAATATGGTCTCAGATAGTCTAATTTAAAATATGATTGATTCTAAGGGCATGAATTAATTTGTTCTATATTAAAAGATACTAGTTCTATGACACGACGTTCTTGCGTGAAGTAAGTGACACATTAGACATTGTTCTTTAGCATAAAGTAGTTGTATTCAAAGTTTTTGGACTAGTAATTTCTTCAAAGGCGTTGACACTCGTTTCATCCGGATGAAATTTTTATTGTTTCGGATGAAACGGATGAAAGATTCTTTTGTTAAAGATGAAAGTATTCCTTTGTTCAGGATGAAAAAAAAATTGAGTGTCAACGCATGTGAATTTACTGACCAAAAGGAATAGTCCTTATCCAAAACCATCAAAATTAAGAACTTAAATTAAAATTCAATGAATATTACGTAATAATAATTTTAATATCTCAATAAAAATTCTTCTTTTCCTAAACAGCATGTAGAAATATTTCAACAACTTCCCAGTCCATATAAATAGATCAAATCTGAGACATTTCTGTATCAAATCATTTTATACCTTTAACCAGAGCATTTTGTAGCAGAACAAATAATATTAAAAATGAAATTCTTTGTCGCAGTTTTCGCCACGATTGTGATGAGTGCCTGTGCTGCACCTTCAGCATTCTATCAACATGCACCACTTGCATATAGTGCTGCAGTTTATCAACCAGTTCAAACAAGCAGTCAATGGCACGCACAATCAGGATTAGGCGACTATGTTTATGGATATCAAGCTGGTCCAAGTTCAAAATCAGAAGTTAAAACTCTTGACGGAATTACTCTATCATACTCATATGTTGATGCCACTAGTAAATTACAAACCGTAAATTATGTTGCTGATTCACTTGGATTCAGAGTTGCTGCTACAAATCTCCCAACACCACCAGTTTTTGAAGGAAAAGCACCAGAACCAGTTGAAGATACACCAGAAGTTAAAGCCGCTAAAGCTGAACATTTGAGCCTTGTTGCAAAAGCCAAGAATGGTGAAGCTATTGTTGCTGTCTCAGAAGTTACTCCATTGAAGGCTCCAGAACCAGTTGAAGATACCGTTGAAGTTAAAGCTGCTAAGGCTGAACATTTGAAGGCTGTTGAAGTTGCCAAGACTCGCTCAGCAGTCGTTGATGATGTTGTCATTGCTCCACACAGCACAGTTGCCATCCATGCTCCAGTTCCAATCCATTATTCAGCTCCACTAAGCTATGCTGCCGCTCCAGTTCCAGTTCAATATTCAGCTCCACTTGCTTATTCAGCACATCAAGTTGTCACAGTCGAAGCTGAACCAATCAAGCCATTCTCATATGCCGTCCATTCAGGATATCCATACTATTATTAAGCTGAAACATGACTGAATTGAGGACGTACAGTTGATGTATAAAAAAATCAGGAAATGTTGAGTTTTATAAATTTTCTAATGACGATCGACAATAAAAATAAACGAATAAAACGATTTAAAACTTAGCTTTTTTAAGCACATGGAAGCACACGATCACGAAAAAGCTCTTAATCTTTCAACATCTGTGGTGAATTTCTTTAAAAAAACTTTTCAGCTTGTTTCACTGTTAAAAGCTTTTGAATGTTTTTCTTTTTCTTTATGAATATTTCATTGTCGATTGTTGCTTCTGTCAGCATGTCGCATGGTGAATTTGCAATTAATATTCCCATTAATTTGAGAACATTGTTAGCTCATTTCCATAATATAAGCATAATCGTTTTCAAAAATAAGAGTCTGAGGAGGGAGAAGAAGCACAAACAAGAAATAACAATTATTAATGAGCGTCTAAATTAGGCTTGGGGATGTACAGATTGGAAAATTTTATGATCCTTAATGAGAATTGTGCGACAACCCCCGCTTAATTTTTATTAATAATTCCTTATCTGTTGCTTTCCCATTCACCACACATATGCTGTTGTCTTTTAGGATTTTACATTTATGTATGCCATGGAATGCCTATAATGCTCATTACTACACAATCCATAATTGTTTACAATGAATGGATGTAATAACATGGCAATTTTTGTCATATTTTCAGCATCAACATCAACATGAGAGGATTGCTTTCGTTTGGCATAGAGATTATGGTCGATTTTCTTTGTCGAGAATAATTTTTATTGTTTTTTTTGCTCTGCTTTATGCTTGGGAATTTTTTTTCTCCTCTCTTCTTGCTTTATCTTTCGCTATTTTTTTCTGATGTACAAAAAAATACTGAATGAGAACCGTTTACTGTCAGAGAGAGGATATAAATGTTGGACTTATGGTATGCCAATGGGTCAGCCATATATGGAAGTTGGTTTACAATTTTAGAGATTTATGAAACCAGATGAAGCTTAGCAATCAGATATATCTCAAAAAGTGAAAAGACGCCCAGGAGCTCCAAAAGCTACATGATGCAGAACAGTGATGAAAGAATGTCAGCTTAATGTGCGGACAGGCAAATTGTACAAACTAGGTGACAGAACCAGCAATAGAGTCAGATGGAAGGCCTTTTGTTGTAACCTAAGCTCCACATAGGATCATGGTTACAGGAAGTATGTAAGTAAGTAAGTAATGAGATATTTCTATAATTAAGGAGTTGTGAGCTACTAGAGGCACCTCACCGTAGGTTTTAAAGTTTATTTCAGGCTTGAAGTAGAGTGCCTCCGAGAGTCTTGGAAATTGGTGCCTGATCAATCTTTTAGAAACAATACTGATGTCAGTTGACTCATGGAGACGATGGTTAAAATCTTATTAGACACGTCAAGTAAATAAAACTACTTTAAGACCCTTTTTGAGTTGAAATAACTTGGTGACTTAACCTCAATTCCTAATAATTGCAACAAAGCTGTTTTGGGTTCGAGATTAAGCACACATTTTTTTGATTGACCTTTCTTGAACAAAAATTGCTGAAAAAAATTTAAAACCTTCCCTCACAGCATTACAAAAATCACATTCGATAACCTCCCAGCAAACACAAGTGCTTAATATTTATGACAATATTAAGAGTACAATGACGTTTATGTCAATGACTATGGTTGTATTCTATTTATAAAATACGAAAAAAATTATATTACAGTTATATTAAAATTTAATTGTGGCCGATGATAAGGCTCAAAGGAAAAGATCTATCTGAACATTGAATGCTGAACTTATTGTTGCTGAGCATAAAAGGAAAATCTATTTAACAAGGGAGGATGTACAATCAGATTAATTATTTCATTCATTGGCTTTTCATATTATTAAGCTATATTTTGAGGATTTTGAAAATAGGAACCACTATTAAGCAGCTTTTGTGATTTGAAAATAATGACATGCATATAGATTATGACTATTAAGATAATTAATAGCTGTGAGGCTGTTCACTTATTACGTAACGATTCAACAAGCTCTAAAAAGTCACTTAAACAGTTTGAATTAATGCATTATTTAAAAAGCTTGCAATTGATATTGCAATAAAATATAGGCCAATAAACAATCAATTTGCTAGTTCCTTTGTGTCATTCTAATCAAACAACTGAAACAAGGTAACAACAAACCATTCCTGTCTACATATCAATAGATTTTCCACACTCAACAAACATTTCAATTTGCACAAATAAATATTCAAATTTTCTCTTTGCTGCATGCACGTGTAAAGCTTACAAAGAACCTTTTACCTACAAAAAAAAAGTACATAATCACACAGTCGGATTGATGTGTACAGTGATGGAATCCCAATTTACACAAGAACAATGATATGATGGATACAGACAGAAAAAACCCCAAAATGTAATTTCATGGATGCAAAGTCAAAAGAATTTTTACTCAAATACATTTTTGCAGTAGCTTGTAAATTACCTTTGTCGAGTGCTAGCAGCTTTTGAAGCTGTGAATGGAGAGGAATTGGAATTTTTGTTACATTCTTTAGAATGCAAACAGTTGTAAAAGTGA